AGGTACACCTCCTCGGTCAAGTACGACTCAGACCGGCACTTCATCGACGACGTCCGCCTGCCCCTGGGCCTGGCCGTGGCCTCCTGCAGCCAGACGGTCACCTGCATCCCCAACTGCACGTGGCGTAGCTACAAGGCCGAGCTGCGCTTCGAGCCCCGGCACAAGGCCACCCGCTTCCTCAGCACCACCATCGTCTACCCCAAGTGCCCCAAGACCGTCTACACCACCACCCTGGATTACAACTGCCGCAAGACGCTGAGGCGGTTCCTGTCCAGCGTGGAGCTCGAGGCCTCCGAGTTCCCGGGCGGCGGGGATTACCTCTCGGACGAGTGCTGACTGAGCAGGCTGCCGGGCTGGGCCAGCTCCTCCGCCACCCTGGTCTCTGCCCTGGTCTCTGCCCTGGTCTCCATCCTGGTCACCGCCCTGGTCTCTGCCCTGGTCTCCTCTGCCCTCCAGTCTCACTCATGCCCCCAGGAATCTAACCTAGAGACACCTCTAAGCCCGGCCTGGGGAAGAAAAAAATGTCACAGCATCTTAGAGTGATCGAGAGAATTTGGTTTTTAAAATGCTTTGTTTTGAAAAGGAGTGTCTTTCTAGTTTGCTGCTGCGCACTTTCCCCCAGAGTCTCAATCTGATGAGAAAATAGAGAGACGACTAGAGCGACGGTGTGAACCAGGCAGGGAGGGGCGCGCCTCTCCAGGGACTGTGGGTCTGAGAAAGAGGAGGAGAAGGGAGAAGGCCTCCGCTGGGAGCAGCGAGTGTGGAGGGTTCAGCCCCGGCCCTCGCAGCGACAAAGCGGCGCTCACTCCGGGCCTGGGACGCCCATGTGGGCCCAATCTGTGCAGAGCCGAGTCCATGCCATTTTCTCTTTCCATTCCCACTTCTCTTTCCTGCTAACCCCAAAGCCTGGATTCTCTCCGTCTTTTTCACGACATCAAAAAGCCCCAAACCGCAGAATAAGAATTAATTTTTTTAAAAGAAAGGGAAGGCTCGCCCTGTGTGCACCTCCTCTGCTGGGCCAGGTGGACGATGGCGGAATCTGAAGGCAGGGGCTTCGCCCCGGTGCCTCTGGTCACTCCTGAGCCCAGGTCCTGGCAGAGCGCCTCGCACCCTTGGCATCTGGTGACGTCGCCACAGGCTTGTGTATCTGGGGCTCCCAAAGACTTCCCTATTTTTTCACAAGGCAAAGCACAGCAGAGAGAAGCGGCATTTGAAAAGAGTGCTTAGGAGAAACGCTTTCGGGGACTCCACCAGGGGGCTTCACCCAGGACCTGACCCCACCTGGGGGCAGATGTGTATGTTTCTGGTGATCTGGTGCATCAGGATGGGTGCCCCC